GGGAGAAAACGGATGTAGAATTGAAGTGGAGGGTCCATCCATCCCGCTGCCACCTTCCTCCCCCCGCCCGCCTTTTGCCATCTGCTCATCAGCTCTCGCAGCCCATAAAGTGATCTTGAACTCCTCTTTCCAGCAGAGGCACAGCACAGCTCAGCTTCAACTTGTGTTACTTTGCAGGTAGAATAGGCTAAAGCTTAACAAAGGATTTTGCATAACCCAAAAAAACTTGCCTTCAAAAAGTTGTGGTGCAGTGGTATTATTATGCAAGTTTTGCAGTCACACAGAGCTCTTCAGCAGACAGGTTGAAACCACATTATAGAATCATAGAATTGTAGAGTTGGAAGGGACCCCACAAGGGCCAGACCCCTGCAATGCAGGAATCTCAGCTAAATAATTCCTCATGGAGGACTATTCAACCTCTGCTCAAAAGCCTCTAATGAAGGAGAGCCCCCACCTTCCCAGGAAGTCCATTCCACTGTCAAACAGCTCTTACTGCCAGAAAGTTATTCCTAATATTTCTTCTCCCTTTTCTTGTAATTTGAACCTGTCTCTTTGGGTCCTACCCTCTGGAGAAGCTTTCCAGTATTTATGTGTGAAACCCAGCCTTGGACATAAGTCCAGTATAAGTAACAGCAGAGCAAAAATGAAAACAGGAAAGAATGAAAGCGTGATAGTGAAACCCCCATCCTCTCTCGCACACACCATGTAATGGCCTAGCCCTATCCCTGGGCCAGTTAAAAGGGTTTTCAATACTTTTTAACGCATGCCTAGTCTGCTTTAGGGGCCTTTTAAAATGGTTAGGTTGGGCCGAGGGATTCCCAAGATATGACATTTCAAAAATAAACAATATTCTGCACTAGGCTAGTTGAACTCGGCAAACTACATACCGTATTTTTTTGCTCTATAAGACGCACCAGACCATAAGATGCACATAGTTTTTGGAAGAGGAAAACAAGGGGGAAAAAGATTCTGAATCCCAGAAGCCAGGACAGCCAAGGAGAGGCTGCGCATGGCTAAGGCTCCCCCAAGAGCCGTGCTCCCTTTAAAGAGTGTGTGGAGCATGTGTGCGGCTCTTGGGGGCTTTTCCCCGAGGAGGGAGAAGGGCAGCACGACTCTTTAAAGGGAGCGCTGAGTAGAGCCTCCTGCCTGCATTCGCTCCATAAGACGCACAGTTATTTTCCCTTACTTTTTAGGAGGGGGAAAGTGCATCTTATAGAGCAAAAAATATGGTAAATTCTGCAAATCTGTGTCTATTTACTTGTTTGGCACAGTTCACTCAGCTTCCTCTAGTCAAGTAGGGGGAGCCAAGTAACCATGTGTGACACTGAAGGTCTCTTCCATGGCCAGGAGAAATCCAGGAGGACAGGCCTTTCACTGGTCATCTGCCATGACAGCCAAATGGAACCTTCACTTCCAGTGGCAGTATATCTTTGAACTTCTTAAGCTTCCTACCCCACTCTTGTCTCCAGACATTTTTCCAAGGGTTGCTCATGCGTTTCCAATCATAAGGGCTTTTCAAGAAATGTCATATAAAAATGGATGTTTGGGTCAGTTATTGATGTCCTATTCTACTTTTTCACAGCAAAGCATAATGGCCAGAACCAGGGACTGGACCACTCAGGAATATCACGAGCCTGGTCCTGAAAAGGCGGGTTTCCCAAATGCACAAAATTTCTTTGCAGATATTTCTTCGTTGTGCTTTTATCAGGAGTGTAATGTCTTGAACTGAGAGCTTCTGCTCCCCGACGGAGAGTCCAGGGCAAAAGAGCGAGACATGGGGCACAACACTAGAGGTGCCAGGAGGTGAGGGAGGCATGTCACTAGCTGAGGAGGGCTGCAGCAGGGTGCCACAGCCCTCGCAATGCCCAATACCCCAATGCCCACGCAGCTATGAAGCTCATGGGGCTGCCTTGGGCCAGAATATTGCTAATACGAAATAGATTTTTCTAGTCGCTCGTTACCCAAAGGTCTCCAAGCGACTTACAATACATTTTAAAATGTAAACATAAACCCACCACACCTTTAACAGATTCATACACGGCACACACACACACGAATGCCATGCCAGAGACTGCTCCCTCCCACCCCCACCCTCCCGCCTTCCTGCAACCGCCCAGAGGGTGGCACCCCCACCGCGAGGAGGGTGCCAGGAGAAAAGCGCGCTCTGCCTGCCCGGGCTCTCGGCCTCCGTGTCTTTGGCCTCATCCGTCCCGATGGGCTGCGGCCCTTCCATTTCGTTTAGTTTCAGCGACTAATTAATCTTAAAAAGGGATCCAGATCAAGGTGGTGGAAAGTTCTGCTTGATACTTTTAGAACTGTCTACAGACACACCTTGCCAGGATAAAACGGAGCCGGGAGGGAGCCGAAGCGGGCAGGAGGGCAGACTGGCAGGAAGAGCCCGAGGCTCAGCACCTGCCATCGCCTCGCGGCGGCGCCCCTGGTCCGCGGGGCTCCAGCCATCTTTCTCGCTGGGCAGAGGCGCTCCAGGCCCCCGAAGCTTCCCGGTGCCATTTGTCATCCCCCCCCCGCCCCCCGCAGCCACTCGAGGCCCTTTGGCCACCTGCTGTATTTTTCTTCCTGCGCTGACGGGGTGGCAGACAGGTGTTAAACTACTTAATCACTTTAAAATTGTTTTAATTTTCTGTTTTGTATTGATCTCCCAGCACCAATTAATCAGCTCACTGGACCAGGCAGTTAGTACATTAAAAATTGTCAGCTACGCCAAACAGCTTAGAAAATGTCAAAAGCATATTCCAGCGGCAGCCAGGCGGCCCGAGCCCGACCAAGGCGCTGCTGCCGGGCCGAGCAAGGGGCCGCTGGGACGGGCTCCGGGCTTGCCGGGGCGCGATGGGTGCGGCGTGCGCACCGCAGCTCCCAGGAAGAGCAGCCTGCCAACAGCTGGCCAGGCGGGATGCCGACAAAGGCACAAGTCCCGCCTGCTAAGCATCCCTCTTCCTCTCCTCTGACTTAAGTTAAAATCCAGCTGAGCATCTACCAGCCACCCCAGAGGGGAGGGGAGAAAAAGGGAAAAGAAGGAAGGATAGAAGGAAGCCTAGTTCAGGGGGTTCGCCGGGTCCCTACCAACTCTGCAATTCCATTATTCCCTTCCTTAGATTTAACAGCAAAACAAGCAGCTGGCAGCGACAAAACGGGCACGTTTCCAGCCTCGCTTGGAGGGCAGCCTTCCCGCGCCCCTTCCTTTTTCCAAGACTGAAAAACCAGACAAGGGAGCCTCTCTTCTGCTTCACCGGGAAACGGCAAGGAGGGTTAGGAACGGGAAGACTGAGCAGGCAAGCGGGCGCCCGAAGCCCAGACCCGTCCCCCCGGAGGCTTCCCTGGGGGCGACTAAAGGCGATGGCGCTGGCCTGCCAGGAAGGAAAAACATGGGCCAGCGCCTTGTAAGACACTTTGGGGGCTTTCCCTTTTTTAAACCATCTAGCGGTGTATAGATTTTATGAAATAAAAGTGAGCCAGAGGCTCATCTCGTGCCCAGCATCTTGTTCTCACGGTGGCCAACCAGATGCCCGGGAGAAGCCCCCAAGCCTGAGCCCCAGAGCCACGCTCTCCTCTCTTAGGCTTTCTGGAACTGCTGTTCAGAAGCCTTCCTGCCTCTCTCCGACTGCAGGAAGGGAGGACGAGGCTATAAATGGTGCAGCTGGGAGTCTGGGTGTGGAGAGCAGCCAGCCCCCCCACTGCCCCGCCCGTCATGCCCACACCCTTAGCTAATCGCGCTGTAATGCATTTTATCTGCCATTGATTTTCCTGGTCACGACTTCACAGCTCTGTTTGCTTTCAGCCACCTGCCATTTAATTGTCTCTGAAGGGAGCAACTGTTGGCCCCTTTTGTGGTGGACCAACCCTATCACCTCCGCACAGGGGAGACTGGTCCAGGAGGGCAAATGGGGCATTGCCCCGCCAACCTCATTCTGCCCCCAGCCAGCCCCCCCCCGCCTGCCCTCTTACTTGTCCAGCCCAGTCAGCCCCCACCTCCCCTCCCTCTCTCCATTGTATGAAAGGTTTTTATTTCAGGTTGAAAAAAACAAAGAAAAAGCCATATACAAAAATTAACATCAAGTAGCAAGCTTTTTCTTTTTCTTTACCATAAATACTAAAAGAGAGAAAAGGAAAGAGAAGAAATAAAGACTTTCGATTTCCCATCTATCCGCTATATGGACTTTCTACAAAACACCTGCTGCAGGAAAGCATGCAACTCTTATGCTTTCCATGAACCAACCTTTTTTCAGTCTTCAAACCCAGATATCACAAGTTCATTTTCTGTAAAGTCCATAAGGGGTTTCCAGTCATTGATAAATGTCAACCATGATTTTTCTCTGATGAAACACATCAACTTCGCCATCTCAGCCAAATCCATTCATTTCAGTGGTCATTCTTCTCAGTTGCCACCTCCGCAGCCTCAGCAGGCTTAGCTAGCCCCTGTCTTGATGCGAAATGGGAAGTGCCCCCCTGCTCTGCCACCTCTGCCTCTGCCCCACCTGCCCCACGGTCTCTGGGGCTGGCAGAGAGGTGGCGCTGGCACTGGTGCTGGTTTCCCGTGAGATCTCCCTGAAATGCTGGTGCTGCCTCTTCAGCAGTCCCGGAGGTGGTGGGGTTGGTGGGGCAGCCAGGGGGGCTGGCTTGGGGGCTTCTGCATCATGAGGTGGCTGCTTCACCTTGGGGAGCCAGGCCTGGTTCTGCCTGTCCTTGGCTCTGGCCACCCCACTCCCAGCCATGGGTCACGGTAAGATTTAGGGATTCTTTGGGGGATGGAGCCACATGCATGTTACTCACACATGACCACGTTTATGCGTGGTGCTGGGAAATATAAATAAATATCATGCCCAGAAATGGCAGGAGAAAGTCTGGCCTGCTAGGAGACTGTTCCTGCCTCTCTCCCCCTGGTCCAGGCTTCATAAGAACTGCTGCTGCTGCCCAGCAAGGACTATTTGGGGGGAAGTTTTGTGGGGAGTTTTTGCTGTAATTTTTTGTATCTTTATTTCTATGCAGTAATTGTTCAGTTTGGTTATGTAGTTTTTGATGTGTTTTGTTTATTTTTATGACTACTTTGCTATGTTTGTAACTATGTAAATCTTTTCATATTGTAAGCCGCCTTGAGCATTGTTTTAACTGTGGAAAGGCGGCATACAAATAAAATGATGATGATGATGAAAGCAGCATGCCTCGGATCATCTCCCTCAGTATCTGCCTGCAGTATTTAGTCACTGAATGTGCTTTACAGCCTGACCTCCGCCCTCCCTAACCCTCTGAGAAAATGAACATGAGAACTTAAAAGGTGATGCTGGGCAATGTCAAAATGTCCTGCCTGGTCTCTGGTGTCCAGGCTGCTGTGCCCCCAGCAGATGCCTCTGTTGCCCCACCTTAGTTACACCCCTGCCGCCGGGATTAGCACAGGGCTATCTGGGCACAAGCGCGTGATCTGTTGTGCACACACTGCTGACACACGGCTCCGCAGGCAGGGCAGAAGTGGGAGCAAACACACCACTGCTATTGCCAGCGCATCAATCCTGCAGCCCTGACAGCTCAATGGGCTTTTCCTCCTCGACCCAAGATAAATTGAGATTGATTGTGTGCTCATACATTCTAGTAAGCGGCCTAATGAGTAACTTTTGAACTGACTCTTTGGGTGGCTCTGGCAAGGTGTAAGGAAAACCACAGGAGCACAGAACCAGTGGCAAGGAAATGGCCTCTTCTCGGGCTGGGGGGATCCAAGGGGCTCTGAAACCTAGGGAGCTGCCTTCTCCTGAGTCAGGCCATCAGACAACCCAGCCCTGCATTGTCCACATGGAGGGGCTGTGGTCTTCCAGGATTTCAGTCCAGGAGCTCTCTCCCTCCTGGCTGGAAAAAGTTCAGTCCAGCCCTGTGCTATACCTTGTGTATGGTTCCCAATGCCCAGCATCAGAGTTGAGCCTCACTGGGGACGTTCACACATGCATGTTTAAGCACTCTTTTTGCTGCAGGAACAACTTGTGTGTTAATTTTATGTTAATTTCTTCTCCATGGAGTCAGTCCACATATTCAGCTGAGAACAATAAAGTGTTTCAAATTGTGCACAAATTCATCCCCCTAGGAAGGTGTGGCCATGCATGCAAATTTCAGTCAATTGTGGCAGAAAATGAAAAAAAGATGCTATAGGCTTTTCTTTTGTTTTTAAAAATATCTAATTTCATGCTGTGCATGAAAACCCCTTAATGCATCTACTTATGATTTGGCTTAATTTACTCTGGAGGGGCTGCTATGCCTCCAAATTCCATCCAATTCTGTGACAAGAAAAAAACCCAACAACAACTATTTTTAGATTGCCCATTCCTTTATAGTGAACGGCAAGAAAACGGAAGATTGTATTTAACAGATCAAATTCAGTCCCAAAAAATAAGTCAAATTGGAAAGACACAGAGCAGCTCTGAAATAGACTGGACTGCTTCCCTAAACTGCAGAAACATGTTGAATTTTGTGGCTGATGCACAACCCTACCGCATAGTAGACCAAAGGGAAGGGAGGGGAGGGAATATCAGGCTAGTTGAAAGGTTGAAGGGTCCATTTGCTAGAAATTTATTTATTGCCCACTGATCTTTGAAAAATTATTGGAGCTACACCCATTTAAAAACATTAATTTTTACAAACGGACATTAATTTCTCCTGCATCCCCCGCTGTTGTGAGCGGAGACTACGCAGGCAGATGGTTTTGACTGGAAATCTTTCCAGAAGAGCAGTCCTGTCATTGCTGATGGCCAGACCATTAAAAAGGCCATTTGGGCTGCCCAGAGGGGGGGGGGCATTTTTTCATTGCCAATCAAAAATGAAAATGCACTGCGGAACAAAGGATGAAAAGGGACAGTGATTTGCATTAAAAATCACATATTCTTACTGAAATGCACATTTAGAAATAATTGCTACCATTTAAATCACAATGGACTACTTGTTGCCCTTGTGGAAAAGGCTGTGGCCAGGCAGCTCCATTTGCTGTCTAGCTGCTCCCTGTACCTGGGCAACTTCAAGTCACCTTCCTCCGCTCCCTGGTCAGAGTCCTTGATGTTTAAGCTAGACTTGGACTGTATTTTTATCTCCTATTGGAAGCCGTCCAGAGTGGCTGGGGAAACCCAGCCAGATGGGCAGGGTGTAAGTGTTGTTGTTGTTGTTGTTGTTGTTGTTGTTGTTGTTGTTGTTATACTGGACAACCTTTGAAAGAGAGGATGCTTTCAGAAAGAGGAGCCTCAGAGCACTGGCCACTATAAAGGAAGTTACATAACTGCCCTAATTGCCACAGAAGGCAGAGGGAATGTTGTCTCCATCACCAGCGCCCCAGCTTCATTTCATACCAAATTCCCCAGAAGCCCTGAAGTCTCTGGTTATTATGCAGAGAAAAGCACACCTGGCAGTTTCATTTGACCAGATGCAAGATTATGGTTCTGAACGTGCACTGCCTTCTGAAATCTCTTCCTCCCCTCCTTGGCCCCTCAAAACCTGGCAGAAACATCCTCCATCTTGACATCAGCAGGGTGGGGGACGGATGGGAGAGTAGGGGAAACAGAGCACAGAGTCTTTGTTTTGGTGCACATTCTGGGTGTACACCCTTAAAGGTGTACAGCTTTTAAAACAGCTGTGGGAATTGAACCAACCAACTAACCAGCTGGTCTTGCTTTTTGCTTTTCTGGTAATAGGCCTGAAACAGGGGGGCAGAGAAAAGTGTTGAAGAAAGAATTAACACCCTGGTCAACCGGCTTCTGCAGGTGGTGGGGAGTGGAGGGGATGCACTTTTTTCATGGCTTCAGGCCAGCCCCAATATGAAAATGCTGGCAGCAAAAACCCGGCAGAGACTGAGACTTCAGTCAAAAAGCTGCTCTGTCCCACCCACAATTTCCTTGCTGAGATCTTTCCCATTGCATCTCAGAGAAAGAACTGGACCTAAAGCACATCCAGGTAACATCCTTTATTGATCAGGTTGCCTATGACCTGTATGTACAGCACATCCCGCCTTCCACGGAGCACCAAAATGTCCCCCGCCTCCCTCCGCCCTTAGGGCTGCCAACACCTCACTGTGAAAGATGCTCCTGGGCTGCCCAAAGCTGCAAGGCAGGGAGAAGCAGAACCAGAGTCAAATCTGTCCAAAGTAGGGATTGGTGAATATGTCAGTATTGATTTCTCTCCATTTTTCATTTCCCCATTCTTAAATTCATTTCCTAAAAAGTCCTCGTGAAAATTATTCAGCATTTTAACACGAATTAATCCCAATATACACATCCTTCTATGCAATTTTGCCCAATCCTCACCCTTTTGAATGGGAAGCTTTGCTTCGAGTCCCGGTTTGTGTGTGTGCTGGCTAAGGAAAGTGGTGCAAAAGATCCTCTTCATATGCCCAGTGGCATTCTGTTCTCTCCAGCTGGCCTGCATGTGCAAGGAAAAGACAGCAGCGAGAAGGCAAGGAAGTTCTGCTCCAGCTCAAACATGCAAAACCATACAAAATAATTCTTAATGATTGCTATAGAAAATGTGGAGATCTTCATTCTGAGATTCCCGCCTCTTTTGCCAGATCCCCCAATGCAGCAGGAAGCCAGGCAGCCATACTGGAGCCATCTGCGGATGCCCCAGTGTCCCCCCCTCCCCCCACTTGCTTACTTGCTTGCTGCCTCAGAGAAGAAAATGGCAGGATCAGCTCCTTGACTCTCCCTGAACTGACCAGCATCCAGTATCCTGGATCCCAACTCCAGAGGTTGCTTGACTCTGGCTCCCATCAGCCTTAGCAAGCCTGGCCAATGGCCAGGGAGATGATGGGAGTTGTCTCATTTGGCACCCAGAGGACCAAGGGTTCCCCACACCCAAATTAGAGCGTTGGGAGTGCAGCCAGATTAGGAACCTCAGTTGAAAGTGAGAGGGAAGAGGTGGCAACTGGGAGGGGAGATGTGGCAGGTGCTTGTGCCTAACCCTTTCTCTCCTGTAGGTCTTCTCTTGCACTTTCCAGGTGTGGTTTGCCAGTGACTGGGAATGTAGAGTGCAGAGGAGGAATGGCCAGTGAGGAAAGGGTTGTATCCTTAAAAAACATATACAAACACACACTCCCCACTCCTCTTGTTTGGCCCTAATGGACAATTTTAAACCAATCCCAACACATTTCAGGCCACATGAGGCGTTTGCAAGGAGTGCCTTAAAACTATGGTGGATACTGTAATTAAATTAAATTATAGGGCAAGGAGCATGGAAAAGATTGGCTAATGCAGCCATGAAAGCAGGGGCTGATGGGAGTTATAGTCCAGAGCAGGCATAGGCAAACTTGGCCCTCTAGATGTTTTGGAACTACAACTCCCATCAACCCTAGCTAACAGGACCAGTGGTCAGGGATGATGGGAACTGTGGTCTCAAAACATCTGGAGGGCTGAGTTTGCCTATGCCTGGTCCAGAGCATCTGGAGGGCACCAAGTGGGGGGTGGGATGGGTTAAGCCAAGTCAGCCCTTTAAGTAAGTAGCAACCCCAGAAATGCTTTCAGTGAGCATTGCAGCTAAATTAACCCACTTTTTGTGGGTTATGCCAATTGCTTCTATTTTTGCATTGTTTGCCTGAGTTTTTGTGCGATTGCCTAACCCATAGTTTTTCCTCCAAAAGCAAATCCTTTTTATCAGCAGATGATTCCCTCAAACAAAGCTGCTAAAAGCATTTAAAAGCATACATAAAGCTTTCCCGCCTCCAGCCCTCTTGAGCCAACCTGGGTCTCCAGCCTGGTGCCCCCAGTTGCCTGGCCTGCAACTCCCACAGCCGTGCTGGCTGAGTCAGACAGGAGAGACAGTCTTAAACCTGGTTGGTGAAGGTCTCTCCTGAATTTGCTTGCTCATCTGTGGACGCCAAATAAGTAAAGTGCCACTCCTTCACAGTGGCGTAGCGTGGGGGGTGTGGGGGGGCCGGCCGCACCGGGCGCAACATCTGGGGGGGGGGCACTCGCACTCGCAGCTCTCTGCCCCTACCTGGCTCACTCACTCTCTCTCACTGCAGTGCTGGCTGTGCGAATCCGATCTGAGCCGCTGGGTTGCAGCCCACTGTGGAGGGGGTGGGTGCCAGGCGTGCGGTGCGGAGAGAGAGCGAGGGACTATCTGGGGGGGGACAGTGCAGCGGCCGCCCAGCGCAGCGCTGAGCGCGGGAGAGAACCACACCAGACCAGACCAGGCAGCAGCAAGAAGAAGCTGGCAGCGGTGGCAGGTTAGGGGTTAGGGGGTGCAAATTACTTGCCTTGCCCCGGGTTAGGGGGCGCAAATTACTTGCCTTGCCCCGGGTGCTGACAACCCACGCTACGCCGCTGCTCCTTCATTCAGGTGAGCTGGGGAACCCTAAGTCTGTTGGGATTTAATCCAGAAACTTAGAATATCTCTGCATGTGAAAGCCCCAAAGCCATTCCTACTTTTGTATTATCCATTTGGGGTATTTGTACAAGGAAACTGCATCTTGGGTTTTGAAGGGTTAGGGTTTATTTCTCTTCATAATTTTGCAGCCCAGTCTTAGCCCAGAAATGAAGATCTGATTATTTCAATGTGACAAACACCTTCAATTTACACATACAAAATGTTAATGATTCCACGGAAATAAATATTTTTAAATGTACTGAAAACATTTTAAAATGTGTGCTACTGGTGTAATTATCAAAGAAACCCTAACCCTTTTCTTTTATATTCATCTTTTTTTTGTATGAGCAAGAAAGCAATTACAGCTGTTATGAGGAAGACTTATAAGGACTCTTTGAAACTGATTTTGTTTTTAATGGAAGTTGTTCCTTTTACCTAAAAAAAGAGAGAGATTTCAACACTGATTTATTTAAAAATAAAAGCCTTTGCTTTTTTTTTTAAATGCCCACAAACCATGGTCTGGCAAGCAGTAGACAGGACTCCTGCCTTCTGCACGTACATGAAAGCCCAGCCACAGCTGCCCTGGCCTTTCAGAAAGTGCCGTCCCTCACCGAGGCTGTGGGATGCAGAACCACAGGACATTTGCAGAAGGAAGAAACCCCTCAGCCACTTCAAAAGGAAGCTAAGGGCAACAAAAACCGTGCACTAGACCCATGATAATTTTCTCAACATTTCCTCTTTCCTGTGATAATTATACAATGCAGTTTCTTTTCTCATTAATTGATGGGAACAACAAGTGGACAACAAGAAAAGAAAGAAATGCAGGAAAAATGTTTGGAACAGCACTAATTATATCCTCTTCTGTATATCCTAGGCTTGAGTCCTGGTACAGTACTTTAGTTTTTTAATTGTAGCTTTTTCCTGTGAGTACAGTATTGGAACAGGAGAAGTTGCATTTGCCAAACTTCTCCCTGCTAGCTTCTCATTTAGCTACATTAAAAGCATATATCAGATCTGCATCAGTTTTGCTGCAGTGGCAGCCTCACCTCAGCAAAGGAATTGCTGCTTGGTGGTTGCTGAGAATGAATAGGTTTTTTTCTGCCTTCCCTGGGAAAACAGAATACTGCAGACCCAGTTTAAGCCTCTCAAAGTGTTGCCAGGATCTGGTGCTGAGCTGGGCCTAAGGGGACTCACATTTGTACCTGCAGCTCCAACCCCAACAGGTTGTGGGAGGGCAGGCTGTGACACCGGAGTGGCAACTGAAGAGTACTCTGCCTATGTTCAGGAGCACTCTCCTTTATATTTGCTTTACAACTTTCAGAGCCGGATGTCAGTACTGAAGGCGGGATGCTAGGGCCCAGCACTTGTGAGCTCTGGCTCAAATGAAGGGTGAACACAGGTGTAACGTTTTATGAAGGGTGTTGCTGGTCAGTCTCCTCGATACTAGCACATCTTGAACAATTGGGGGCATGTTTTCCGCATGATTCAGTTTGAACAAGGAAAAACTGGCTGTGGAAGGTGACTATTGGCTCGTGCCTGTGACACAACCTGAGAGCGAGCGCCTCCCGCAACCCCTGGAGTCATTTTGTAAGTGGTTTGAAAATATTTGCTTTCCTTTTTTTATAAACAGAGAAATTAAAGCCTATGTGATGAAACTTCCCTTTGCTGCTGGAGAGGACTTGAGGGTCGGGGCATGCAGCCAGGAAGGCTTCGCGGCCGGAGTGCGGCGTGCGCCCCGCCCCGTCCTGCCGCCTGAGCTGCTCCTCTTCCCGCTGGCCGGAGTCCTCGCTGCCGCTCAGCCGCTGGGCGAGCCCAGGCCCAGCACCGAGAAGGCGGCGCGGTGCTTGCGCAGCAGCAGGCGGATCTTCTCGTCGTCCGAGTCCGGGTCCAGAGGCTTGTTGTATTCGTCGTCCTCGTCCGAGGCTGGGCGCTCGCCCGCTCCGGCCGCCGCGCGGGGCGAAGACGACGACGGCTCCAGGGCGCTCTTCTTGCGCCACTTGGTGCGCCGGTTCTGGAACCAGACCTGCAAGGAGGCGGACGGGCAGCGGGTCAGGGCAGCGCGCAAGGCCGGCAGGAGCCGAGCGCAGGCGGAGCCCACCAAGGCGAGCTGCGCCAGCCAAGGCAGGAGGGGCTCGCGGAACAGCCGCCCCAGCCGGCAGCGCGCCCGGGGGAAACGCGCCCCGCTGATGGGCTTCTGGCGGCAGGCTCTTTAAGGCAGAGGAGCCCTGCCGGCGGGGAAAGATGGCAATCGTACTTCTGAATTGGGGGTTGTCACTTCACCCCAGAGGAAAAGGGGCTGGCAGGGGTTTGTTAAATGATAGCTGAAAAAGAGGTTTATTGATCCAGCGGTGCCTCTTCAGTTTCTTAGGCATACTGGATCGGAATTTTGAATCGCTGTTCTCCACAATGTCCCTGAAAGAGGACCAGAGGGGTCTGAAATGCTCTGGCTCAATAAACCCCTTTCATTTTTTCCATTCTGCTATTTGTTTCCACTTCCACTTGCTTTTTGGAGTTCCTATTTTTGTTGCACTAAATTATCGACAAACCAAGAGTTCTCTGGTAAAAGAACTAGACATTTGAAAGAAATTCCCCCTTTTCAAACTCCTGCAGCATTTTAGTCCTGGCCTACAGAAATTTTAGTGCAATGGCCTCCCCAGTTTTGAACACAACTGCAGATCCAGTTTTACCACTGTTTAAATATTATTTCAGATCTAGTTTTACCACTGTTTTAAATATTATTTCAATTTTCTTGAAGGAACCAGGGCGGGTGGGTGTCCCTCCTCCTTCTAGACCTTTTTTCTTGGCCCACAGCTTCTTTCTTTCCTCCACTAATATAGAGAAAAGAAGCAATAGTTTCATTTGCCATCAAGTGAGCTAAAATTCATTTCTCAGAATAGAGTTTTCAAAGAAAAAATATTAAAGAATCTTTCATTTCCCTCCAAGTATATATGGCAAAATGCCCCTCACACAATTTCACCACCCACAAAAAGTGTGAAGAGTTTTGGGAGGCCATTTTAACTCTCTTAGTTTAAATTATGTTGACTTTAGGGCTACAACATTTAAGACAATCCATTTGTTAGATCAATTGATGAAAAACTGGTGCTGCGCCAAAGCCTGCCCTTCTGTTTCTGGAGAGATTTCTTCCCAGGGTGTCCTGCCCAGAGGAAGAGGAGGGGGGCAAATACACATTGGTCTATAAAGCCCTTAACAACACGGGGACCAGTTTACCCGGGAGATGGCATTGCCCCAGGTGTGTCCGTGTGCCAAAAAGGATACAGGGAATGGCTGGGAAATCCAAAATGGAAATGTCGCCTCCGGCTCCTGCTTAAACTCTTTTTGCTTAGGCCAGACTACCCAGATCTCTCATGTGCGGATGTGCATTTTAATCTGCTTTTAGCTTAGCACTTATTTCAATTATTATCTGAATGTTTTAAATTGTTGTTTTTACCTGTTCTTATCTGTTTTTACTCATATTCGTATTGCTTTATTCTTTTTGTGAACTGCTTTGAGTTTTGTTTTTGTTTTACAGTCAAATTTCATGAAAACAAATAAATAAAATAATAAAATAAGGTTGGGGCAGTTTGGGCAACCCAGTGGAATCAAACCTGCACCAAGAGATTCCCGGGCTTCTGCCTCATTCTCAGGTGGCTCTAGAATTCCATTGAGCTTTTAATGGGTGTGGGATTGAGCTTAGCGCATCCCTCAAGGTGCCGATGTGTGGAGCTTCTTCGGCCACATTGACACCATACATTTAAAGTGCTATGATACCAGTTTAAAGAATCATGGCTTCCGGCCCCCACCAACAAATTTGGGAAGCTGTAGTTTGTTAAGGGTGCTGAGAGTTGTTAGGGGGCCCTGATTCCCCTCATGGATCTACAATTCCCAGAGTTCCCTATGAAAAGGGATTGACTGTTAAACCACTCTGGGAACTGTAGCTCTGGGATGGGAATAGGGCTTGCCTAGCGACTCTCAGCCCCTTTAACAAACTACAGCTCCCATAACTGGGGGGGGGGGGGCTGTGAGTGTTTAAAGTGGCATGAATATAGCCTTTTTCTATCCAGTAAATATTTCTTTAGTGGTTTGCAGCCTCCCCTGCTGCATACACCCAAGAGAGGAAGTTGCCTCATGGCACCCAGGGAGGCTACAGAGTGCAGAATGCTGGAGGGATGCTAGGAAGAAAGAAAGAAAGAAAGAAAGAAAGAAAGAAAGAAAGAGACCCTTTGATCACTTCAGATATAATATAAGCACCACAAATCACACACATGTACATGACAAATTAACCAAAATTTTCTCTCCCTTTTGAGAATTTCTTTCTCATTAATGGTTAAAAAAAAGGTAAATAGAAATTTCTGCCACAGCACTGTTAAAGATCTTTTGATTAAAAGGGGCCAGCAGAACTGTTTTTAGAAGTCAGATATTTTTAATACTGCACCTGGGTTGCAGTCTGGCACACAGAATGTCTCTTCTAAGACTGTGCGTGCTGCCATTCATTTTCATTTATTACATTTGTACTTCACCACCTTCCCTCCTTGGAGCTCCAGGTGGTGGGCAGAGGTCTCCTCTCCACTTATCCTCACAAGAATCCTGCGAGGTGGGATTGGCCAAGAGTGAGTGATGGCACAACGTCACCCTGTGAGCTTCATGGCCGAGTGGGGTTTGAACCCTGGTCCAACCCTCGTGTGCCATCTGAAAACAAAATGTGCCTCTTTCTTTGGAAATATTCTTATAGTCATATGCAAATGCATTCAGATTTAACCATGTAACTGGTGGACTAAAACAAATGCAATCCATTGGCTTTCTTTAATTGGGTGGCAGGTTAATTAGTCTGCTTAGACATGCAGCCATTTTCAAAAAAATAATTCGGATGCAATACATAATGACAATTTTGAAAAAGAATAATGTTCCAAAAGTCTATCACTAATAAACTGCTATTCATTGCTAATAAACTACGATTAATTCTTGAACTTCTAAAAACTTCAATAGTAGCATAATTTTAAAACCAAAATAAATCTGCCACTATGTTTTGAGGGCTTGGGACGCGGGTGGCGCTGTGGGTTAAACCACAGAGCCTAGGACTTGCCGATCAGAAGGTTGGCAGTTCAAATCCCCACGACAGGGTGAGATCCTGCTGCTCGGTCCCTACTCCTGCCAACCTAGCAGTTCGAAAGCACGTCAAAGTGCAAGTAGATAAATAGGTATCGCTCCGGCGGGAAGGCAAACGGCGTTTCTGTGCGCTGCTCTGGTTCGCCAGAAGCGGCTTAGTCATGCTGGCCACATGACCCGGAAGCTGTACGCCGGCTCCCTCGGCCAATAAAAGCGAGATGAGCGCCGCAGCCCCAGAGTCGGCCATGACTGGACCTAATGGTCAGGCGTCCCTTTACCTTTACCTATGTTTTGAGGTGATGTGTGCTAAGAATTTTGCAATGAGACAATGCTTAACGGCTTGACCGAGCTTTGGAAAACCTGAAGCAGCAGCCTGCCAGGGAAGCTTGTGGCAGAGAGAGGGCAGGCCCTGCCGTGGGGCAGCGTAAGGCAACCACCTCAGGCGGCAAATGCCAAGGGGCAGCAGGGGCAGCCCCCTGGCTGCTTAGCAAGACGGAAACAAGATTCCGTCTCCACACTCAGCAGCAGCTCTATGTGGGGAAAGGGCCTTGGACAGTTAGATCACAGGTGGGCCACCTTTCTGCACATGAGTCGTGGCAGAGTCAGGTCCAAAGTGTATTGGTTGCCAGCTTTTCAACTTGCTCCTAGGACCATGTCATTCCAAACTCCACCTGCTGATTTCTGATCATCCAGCACTTGTGAAAAGCTGACAGAAGCCAGTCCTTTCTCCTGTCCTGCTCAGCTGGTGACTCTGAAAGCAGGAGAGCGTGTTTTTAATTCTATAGCACGTGTAAACACACACACGCCTCTGTTTTGGAGCCTGTTGTGGTGTGACACACGCAGAAACCCTGCTGAGGCAAACTGCTCCAGCTCTCCTGCTCTTGTCCCAGTGCCATTTGAGGCAAAGCCCATGGCATAACTCTGTGGGCTTCCCTGCACATATCACCCACATGAGTGAAAGGGACACAGGCTGCACACAGGCTTGTTATGCATCGTTAGCCCTGATCAGCAGGTTGGCTTGGGGGGATGGGACACACTTTGAGATGGGGGTTAAGGCCAGAGAGCAAGCATTTCATTGGTCACCCCTTAAAGCATGGGCCCTCAAACTTTTTGGGGTTCCCAGAGGCACCGTTGAAAATCTCAGAAACTGTTGTGAGCACCACAAAATACAGAGTGCACAGGACCTAACCCTCCCTCACCACCAAAGAACTGCTTCCCCAGCAAACAAAGCAGAGACAAAAAAAGCAGGAACCTCCCCCCCACACACAAACCAAGGAAACCCAAAGCAACCTCTGCAAGCAAAAAAAAAAGGGGGGGGGGAATCCCCAACAATTGGGATGAATGGGTGTTCAGCCATGTGCCTGAGGGTGCTCTGGTGCTCACAAGCACCGCATTGTGAGCCCCAGATTTAAACTGATGTCCCACAAAGTCCCATCAATGCCTCTTCTCCAGCTTGTTCTTTCACCTCCCAATTGGCAGTGCCTCTTTGGAGACTGGATTTGGCCCAAGGGCTGCCAGTTGCTGACCTGGGCGAAGCAGAGCCTATGGGTGCTGCTGCTGATTCCCTGCCCCCGCCCTCCCCCAGCTTGACTCACAAAGGTACAGGGAGCTCACCTTCACCTGCGATTCACTCATTCCAAGGGAATAGGCAAGTCTGGCCCGCTCAGGCCCAGCCAGGTACTTGGTCTGCTCAAAGGTTTTCTCCAGGGCAAAGATCTGGTGGCCCGTGAAGGTCGGCCGTGTGTGCTTCTTCTTGTGGAGGCCGTCGCCCACAGGCCCTGCAGCTGTGCAGAGGGAGAGGGGCAGCGTGAGGCCTGAGGGGCACTGAAGCTGGCTAGCGCTCCCTTCCCTGTGCACCAGGCAGGATGAGCCCTCCAGCCGCCCCTGCCCCAGACACACACCAAGGCAAATCTATGCCAGCCATCCCTAGGAAAGCAATCAAAAACAAAACTGCCCATCTCATCATGCCCTTAGACCACTCTGCCGCATGACCGTACTTGGAGTGCTGCGTGAGGTTTGGCTCGCCCAACCTCAAAGACGACCCTGCAGAAAGAGGCTCAGAGAAGGGCTGCCCAAATGGTCAAGGGAATGGAGAGACTCTGCTAGGAGGAAAGGCTGCCGCATTTGGGACTTAGAGAAAAGACAATATGAGCCGACGTGGTAGAGGTCTATAAAATGATGCCCAGCGTGGAGAAAGAGAGTTGGGAAGAGTTTTTCTCCCTCTCTCCTCACGCTGGAACTTATGGGCATCCAATGAATCTGTATGTTGGGAGACCCAGGACAGAAGCATAGTGCATAGCTAAACTATGGAACTCCCTGCCACAGGGGGCAGAGCCGGCCACCAACTTGGATGGGGAAATTAACGGAAGACCAGGCTAGCCGTGGCTACTAGCCGCAATGACTATGCTGTGCCTCCACCATCAAAGGCCTGGCGCCTCTGAAGGCAGCTGCTGGGCATCGCAGGCAGGCAGAATGTCTCATGTCCTGCTTGCAGGTTGCCCCCCAGGCGTCCAGGTGGCCACTGTGAGATCAGGGTGCAGGGCTGGGGGGGGCATGGGCCTGATCCCGCAGTCTCTTCCGAGGTTCTTAAGCTACCACAGGTTGAGGAGGACCTTTTTTAGCTAAAAGATTCACTTCTGTGCACTGTTCTGTCAGGCCTATTCGTCATCTGGTGCTGGGCAAGGAGAATGAACCAGACACCCCACAGGTTGAGGACCCTGGGGAACAGGCCTGTACCTAGGGGTGCCTTGAGGTGCCCTCTGGCCTGACCCCAGAGGAAGAACCTCGGGGCATGTCAGAGGATGGGGTGGGAGTGCGCCCCCCCAATCCTTGAGAGTGCAGACAACAAAATCTCTGGGCCCAGGATGAAGGACAGTAGCTCAGGAGGTCTCCATGGGTACAGAATGGGCAGGCTACTCGTGAGAAAGGGAATGCAGTTCACCACAAACCCTGTTTGTGCTGGCAAAGTTGGCATTTCTGCTGCTGGGGCCTGAGCCCCTGAGGGAGCCCCCCGAGAGTGACACTTCCTGACGGCTGAATGCCAGTGGGAGAAGCAGGGGGAGCAATCCAGGCAAATGTCTCCCTTTGCAAAGTGCACTGCTCTCTGCTCATGCTCACAGAGCCCTTTCTGTTTTCTGCCGGGGCAACCTACATGCCTCATCGGGGGTCAAGACACGTTCCAGTCAGGTAAACCTCTCTAGGGGGCCTAGCAGGGCTGGGGGGTGGGGGTGGGCATGGCCTCAGGTTCCCCACTCTCAGCCTACCCCTGTCTGCCCCATCACTTGCTCCTCTGCCTGTCCGAAGTGCTGCTCTTATTTAATAGCGTTATTTATTACTTGGCACATGATTACTCCAGAAAGCCAAACAACTTGGTCTGCCAAACACATCTGGGTGGCTTGTGTGTGTTTTATTAATCTAGCAGCCTTGGGTTGGGTGCAAATCTGGGCTGGGACTTGTGGCATGCCTTCTCAGCCCCCTTCCCAGCAAAACACCAATGCCAAAGCTATATAAGCTGTTAAGGGCCCCCAAAGGAGCTTTGGGGGGGGTGTTGATTTGAGAGACTCTCTCTTCTTCCCATGAACCTGCCCATCAGCTGAAGTCAGCTTCCCAGGACTTGCTCTGCACTCCAGGCCCCGAGCAGGTGCACCGGGGGGGGGGGCAAGGGCATGGCTGGCCCTTTTTATTCTGTGAACCCCCCCGAGATCTTATGATGAAGGGCAGTATATACATTTAATTGATAAATATTAATAGTAATAATAATAATCAGGCAGAGTGGGGCTTTAGATACTTTGGTTCATTGTATCAATATTTTATTGTTGCAAAAGGAAATTTTTATAAGAAATTTTGCAGCGATGTGAGCTGTGGCCTCGGTTCCTCTGATCCTTCCCCCATCCCTACCCCCACTTCCGCCGCAGAAGAGCCCCCAGATCAGGCCAATGGCCCACCAGACCCTGTTCTCATCCTGTTGCCAACCAGGTCCTTATGGAAAACCCTCAGGCAAGACCCAAGTAAGAGCAAGACCCAGGCCATCTCCTCTTGTCTCCTGCAGCTTCCAGCAACTGGCATTCAGAAGCATCACTGCCTCCAAACAATTTGCGTAAGACTAGTTAGAACTAGTCTTCCCCAACCTGGTGTCCTCCAGAAGTGTAGAGCTGGGAGGGACCATGAGGCCCATTTAGTCCAACCCCCTGAAGCAGAGAGCAGCTGCAGGGAATGCAAAGTGATGCTGGACTCCAGGGCAGCCTTTATTGCCCAACTTCCCCAACCTTTGCCCAACCAGATGTTATTGGACTCCACTCCCCATCAGCCTCAGCCACAGCAGCCATTGGTTAGGGACGATGGGAGTTGTGGTTGAAAAACATGTTCCCCCCTGGTTTGGGGAAAAGCTGCCCCAGATGAACCTCTGCCTCACCAGATGGTGCTAGACTGCCACTCCCACCGTCCCTGAACATTAGGCCTGATGGGAACTGGAGTCCATCAGCATCTGGAGGGGCAGAGGCTCCCCACCCGCTGCCCTAGAGGATGGGATGGGGCACAGCTCTTCCCTTTGCGGAGGGTGGGTTTGCCACGTGTTTCTCCTTCCACCAGGGCTGTTTCCCTGGCACCTGTGCCCATGCCACACTAGTGCCCCTGGCCTTTTGCACACTTCTTTATGGAGCCCCATATCAGCAGCACCCGGCTACCCGGCGCCATCTGTCATTCCAAGGGGCACTTTCGTGGCAGCCAAGGATAAACTTTGCTTGATTCCGAGAACCGCTCCCTTTGCCCAGGAAAAGCAACGCAGAGGGAGGGCAAAGGAGCCAGTCACCTTCCTGCAGCTTTCTCAGGCACCTGTTCCAGAAAACCAGGTAACCTCCCCTCCCCCCACTTTCTGCAGTGACCAATCTCCAAACAAATGTGAGGTGGGGGTGAGAGATACATAAGGGATCCCAGGGCTCTCTGACCTAGAAGGCCTGCCCCAATCCAAGAGGTGAAAGGCTGCCTGTGGTTATTAAAACTCTGCACATGCTCAAGGATACTTGTCTGCTTGTTTGCCATGTTACCTCTAGTTACTTTTTCCTGTCATTGCTGTCTCTCACTCTCTCAAAACCTGTAAGCTCCTGGTTCCAAAATATCCTGTTTTTCCTCCTGCATGTGACTCTGTGAAAGCACTACAAACACCGATGACTCTACATGCAAACCTGCCTCTTTCTGGTGCCCTTTGACTTCTTAAGCGCCCCCTCTCTTCCCCAGTCAAACAAAGTCCAGCATGTTTAGCTGCCTTTGCCTGTGTTCATTCATCCTTCAACTTTCTCTCTTTTTTCTTCACTGTGTTTTTTCACTTGCTGTTCAAATGCATACTGCAAGCCCCTCGAGGCAGGGAGTGCCCAAGTTGCTCCACATACTTGAATGCTGCCATAATGAACAATCATAACTACTTTGCGTATTCCAGGACCAAGTTCTGCCCTCGGTTCAGCCTTGCCAGTTTCCTTTCGCCACCCAAGGCCATCGCCTCACCCTTACAGATACCTCTCCTGGCTACTCCCCCCCCCCCACGTCCCCCCAAACCCACCCCACCCCATGGCTAGTTTGCTACTCACGGTTGCCACATGGCCGAGCTCCATGCCACTCCTGCCCTGTGTCTGCCCAGCAGTTCCGACCTCTGGCTGAGTATTCGCTTCCGGCTTTGGAGAAGTTCCCCACTTGAGACCCGTAGTAAAGGCTCTGGGTGCCCAGTCCGTTGAACCCACCAACGTGGGAGTAGCCCGAGAGAAGACCCCCATTCGGTGGAGCCACTGGTCTGCTCAGGATGTCGCTGATGCCATGCGGTGTGCCAGCAGCCAGCTGGGCACTCAGCCCGGGGGGGCTGAGCTTGTAGAAGGAGTTTTGCACTGTATACTGGCACATCGAGGCCTTCACCTCTGGGAAAGGGGGCAGAGGAGGGTTGTTGAGAAGGAATGTCCCCTGGAGGTTGGTGTCCATCGCTAGACTGCCTGCTGGGAGATGAGCCTAGTGAGGTTTGGGGGGTCAATCATGCAGCTTTTAGATTCCCAGAAGTGCATGGCACATTGGCAGTGCCATCTCACAGAGACCCTGCTTCTACTTGGCAGCCTCCCTGCTGGCACAGAGGCAGCTGGTGGTCTGGAGCAGCTCCTGCTGGCCAAGGGAACTGTGGCTCAAGTCCATTGGGTGCCTGGCTAGCGGACCTCCCTGTGCCCCAGAGATTCTGAAGTCAAAACTGGCCAGCCACCAAGTTTAACTTCAAGGGAAGCTTCATTCCCTCTGATAAAAGATGGGGCTTATTAGAATACTGGGCCTCTGATAGGCTGCTGTGCTGGGTCTCCTGGCTCTCATTGGCTGGGCCAAGGACAGGATGTGGATTGGCTGCTCCCAGACAAATTACCCTTTGAAAGATCTACGGTCAACACCAGAACCTTAACGCTTGGATAGCGGGGGGGGGGGGGGGGAGCCTGCCTTTGCCTGGGGTGTGTGATGGATGATAGTGGGAGGGGTGGGGGTGTTTGTGCAAGAGAGAGAGACTCTGCACCTTTGTAGGAGACAGACTCTGATTATGGGCGAGTGCAACAGAAGAACCAGGGATAGGAAATGCGGGTGCAGCTCTTCAAGGAGCAGGATGAGGCCGCAGCCTCAGGCGGTTGGTTTCGGTGGGCCTTTACAGGGCAGCAAAATGGGAGGTCAGACAAGCCTGAGCCCTGGTCCTTGGGGGAAGCCCTACAGGAAATAGATGGGAATCTGTGCAAGAGATTCTGCTCCTGCATGGTAGGGAATATTGTTTTATTTATTTTTAAAAAGGCTGTTGTGGAACGTCCTGGGGGACTGGGACTGGGGATTGACAGATCTGTCCATTTCACTTTCTCAACAATGTTACTTCTATTTTTATTGATTACCAGTAAAATGCTTGGGAAAGGGCAATATTTTATCATTTAAAAAAAAATTTAAAAAAATCGAAAGGAAAAAAGTCTGGCTTAGGTATCTTTTCTGCCTCCATTCCCACTAGCATGGATATAACACAGTGGAATCTACATGAACAAAAAGGACCTTCCTTGCCAGGGGGGTGGGGGTGGCGGTCTGTGGGCCAATTTTGGTCTTCCATGTCTGGTGTGACCCATGGGGCCATTTCCCCCAAACCAAGGCCGCCTGCCCACCAGCCCACATCACAGTGGGAGCTGTCTTAAAACACTTTGCAATTGGGAAAAGTACTTGGAAGCCGCTGCAGGTTCCCAAGTGCCTGGCTGTTGAGGTCCTGCAAGACCCGCCCAAGAGATTTTCAGACGATCTCAATCACAAGATGTCATAATAATGTCATGTGATTGACAGGTGGGTGATTTTGATAAGGACCCAACCCATGTAGCCAAAAAGGTTCCCTACCTCCCAAAGTGATGAAAAGTCCATTGCAATTCTTCCTGCAGCTTAGCTTGGAGCCAAGAAAGAGAAGGAGATTGTGGAGGAACCAATGACTGAACGGGCATTATCACTAAGAGAGTTCAGTAAAATTAGGGATACAGTGGTGACAAGAGACGGATGTCTAGGCCTCATTCACAAATTTACAAATCGCCATGTCTGAATGCTGTTTATCCAGGAGTCCTTCAGGAATGCAAAGGTGAAGTTGCTGATCTCTAACAAAATTATTATTATTATTATTATTATTATTATTATTATTATTATTATATCTAAAACCATCCTCTGTTCAAGGACTGATCTGGACCACAGAGGGGCTGAAGTTAGAATATTTTACTTTATTTTATGTTATTTGGACCTTTGGATCCAGAAAATGACAGGCCAGTTAGCTTAACATCTGTTCTGGGCAAATTGGTGGAAAGCATGATTAGAAGTATGCCCGCCCAAGGATCTATAAAGGGGCCTGTACTTTTAAATTTGTTTTTAAATGATCTGGAGCTAGGAGTGAGGATTATTATTATTATTATTATTATTATTATTATTATTTCTTATTTATATGCTGCCCATCTGACTGGGTTTCCCCAGCAACTCTAGGCAACTTCCATCAAATTAAAATGCAGTAAGACACCAAACATTAAAAACTTCCCTATACAGGGCTGCCTTCAGATGTCTTCTAAAGGACAGAGAGTTGGTTATATTTCCTTGACATGGGAGGGTGTTCCAAAGGGTGGGCACCACTACCAAAAAGGCCCAGATAGGATCAGGATTATGGACAACAGCGAACTATTCAGGGTGATAAAGCCCAAAAGGGATTCTGCAAAGCTCCAAAATGATGTTTCCAAACCGGGTGAATAGTCAATAAAATGCCAGACATCATTCAAGGTAAGTACAGTGATGCACATTAGGGTAGGAAAACCCTAAATTTAGAATCAATTCCGAGGGTGTCTGAATTGATTATGACTGACCAGGAAAGGGATTTTGGGGTCATGGTGGGCAGCTTAATGAAAATGTTGAGGCTAGTGTCTGCAGGAGGAGTGAAAGGAAAATGGAAATCCAGTGTCCAGGGTCATGGAAAAGGATCAACAATAACGTACCAATGTCAGAATGTCTTTATGCAAATCTGATCACCCCTGGAATACTGTGGACAGTTCTGGGCATCCCAACTCAACAAGGATATTGTAGAGTCAGAAAAGCATCAGAAAAAGCAGCCAAAATGATTAAGGGGATGAAGTGACTCTCCTGTGAAGAGAGCTTACAACATTTGCGGTTTCTTTATTTTAGAAAAAGGCAATTAAGGAGACTGTGTTGGAGGTGTATTGATTTTACACAGTATGGAGAATGTGGTAGGAAATTTTTCTTCCTCTCTCATTGTACAAGAAACCCAGAGGAGTAATCCAGTGAGCGAAGAATGAATGGTGAATGGCTGTACTTCTTCATACTGTGCATGGTTAAACTATGGCACTCTCTGCCACAAGATGTAGTGACAGCAGCCACTTTGGACAGCTCTGAAAGAGGGTCATACAAACTCAAGTCGTCAGTGGCTACTATTCATGGTCACTATATTACTTACTGGGTATCAGAGTATCGGTATCTGCACGCCAGTTGCTAGGAAGAGAGAGAGCGTCAGGCGAGAGCTATGGTTGCCCGCATGTTCTGAAGACGTTGACCCCAGTGGGAACAGAATAGTTCCAGGTCTTTGGTCTGACCTAACATGGTTCTTCTAACGCTTTTTGAGCTACCCATCTGAAAGCACACATTTTGGGGGCAGAAGAATCATATCATAGAATCATAGAGTTGGAAGAGACCACAAGGGCCATCGAGTCCAACCCCTGCCAAGCAGGAAACACCATCAGAGCACTCCTGACATATGGTTGTCAAGCCTCTGCTTAAAGACCTCCAAAGAAGGAGACTCCACCACACTCCTTGGCAGCAAATTCCACTGTCGAACAGCTCTTACTGTCAGGAAGTTCTTCCTAATGTTTAGGTGGAATCTTCTTTCTTGTAGTTTGGATCCATTGCTCCGTGTCCGCTTCTCTGGAGCAGCAGAAAACAACCTTTCTCCCTCCTCTATGTGACATCCTTTTATATATTTGAACATGGCTATCATATCACCCCTTAACCTCCTCTTCTCCAGGCTAAACATGCCCTGTTCCCTTAGCCGTTCCTCATAAGGCATCGTTTCCAGGCCTTTGACCATTTTGGTTGCCCTCCTCTCCGTTCCAGTTTGTCAGTGTCCTTCTTGAACTGTGGTGCCCAGAACTGGACACAGTACTCCAGGTGAGGTCTGACCAGAGCAGAATACAGTGGCACTATTACTTCCCTTGATCTAGATGCTATACTCCTATTGATGCAGCCCAGTATTGCATTGGCTTTTTTAGCTGCCGCGTCACACTGTTGGCTCATGTCAAGTTTGTGGTCAACCAAGACTCCTAGATCCTTTTCACATGTACTGCTCTCAAGCCAGGTGTCACCCATCTTGTATTTGTGCCTCTCATTTTTTTTGCCCAAGTGCAATACTTTACATTTCTCCCTGTTAAAATTCATCTTGTTTGTTTTGGCCCAGTTCTCTAATCTGTCAAGGTCGTTTTGAAGTGTGATCCTGTCCTCTGGGGTGTTAGCCACCCCTCCCAGTTTGGTGTCATCTGCAAATTTGATCAGGATGCCCTTGAGACCATCATCCAAGTCGTTGATAAAGATGTTGAATAAGACCGGGCCCAAGACAGAACCTTGTGGCACCCCACTAGTCACTCTTCTCCAGGATGAAGAGGAACCATTGATGAGCATCCTTTGGGTTCGGTCAGTCAGCCAGTTACAAATCCACTGAGTGGTCAAGACCACATTTTACCAGCTTCTTTACAAGAATATCATGGGGCACCTTGTCAAATGCCTTGCTGAAATCAAGGTAGGCTACATCCACTGCGTTCCCTTCATCTACCAGGCTTGTAATTCTGTCAAAAATGAGATCGGGTTAGTCTGACATGACTTATTTTTCAGAAATCCATGCTGATTATTGGTGATCACAGCATTCCTTTCTAGGTGCTCACAGACTGTTTGCTTGATGATCTGCTCCAGAATCTTCCCTGGTATTGATGTCAGACTGACTGAGCGGTAATTATTTGGGTCCTTTCTTTTCCCTTTTTGAAAATAGGGACAACATTTGCCCTCCTCCAGTCTGCCGGGACTTCGCCTGTTCTCCAGGAATTCTCAAAGATGACTGCCAGTGGTTGTGAGATCACATCTGCCAGTTCTTTTAATACTCTTGGATGCAGTTCATCTGGCCCTGGAGACTTGAATACATCTAGACTAGCCAAGTATTCTTGTACTATCTCCTTAGTTATTCTGGGCTGTGTTTCCTCTGCTGAATCATTTGCTCCAAATTCTTCAGGTCGGGCATTGTTTTCTTTATCGGAGAAGACTGAGGCAAAGAAGGCATTGAGGAGTTCAGCCCTTTCTGTGTCCCCTGTTTGCATTTCACCATCTTCTCCTCTGAGTGACCCCACTGTTTCTTTGTTCTTCCTTTTGCTACGAACATACCCATAAAAGCCTTTTTTGTTGCTTTTAACCTCTCTAGCAAGCC